ACACACACACACACACACACACACACACACACAGACACACACACACACAGACACACACACACAGACACACACACACAGACACACACAGACACGCACACAGACACGCACACACACGCACACACACACACACAGAGACACGCACACAGAGACACACACGCACACACACACACAGACACACACACGCACGCACACACACACACAGACACACACACACACAGACACACACACACCCTGCGCCTGCCTGTAGGCCCTGTCGGGGGCTCTCTGCAGCCTTCATTCTCTGGCTGCTCGGGAGTCTCCCGGGGTGACTCAGGACCTGGCTCCTGCTCCCGCCTCTGCTGGCTGGGCCTGGGGTGCAGTTTTGGGGGCGAGGCCTAGCTGTCCTGGGGAGGGGACAGTCTCCAGGAAGGAAGCCATGTGGCAGGACAGTGACTCAACAGGAGGATCCTGAGCTCACCTGAAGCCTCTGAGCTTCTAAAGGGGTCTGTCGCAGACTCCACCATGTTCTGAAAACAATCTGCATGTGCAGAACTTAAAACTCGGGGCTTCCCACAAACCCCAGGTTTCTGGACCTTAGAAAACTGAGCCACCGGCCACACGGTCCCACCTTCCCACGGGGCAGGGGCAGCAGGAACAGAGTGGCAGCTCTGTGGGGAAGGGGCCTGCCTGCCGTGTCCCCTCCTGGACTCCTCATTCCCACCAGCTGTGCTGTCCAGGGGTGTCGTGGACCCAGATGAGGCTGTTCAGATGGGCGGCCCTGAGATTTTGCTTCATGGTGTCAGTTGTTCAGGAGGGACCTTGGGAAGCGCCACCCCCACACACGCCCTGCCCAGACCAGGACACGTCAGGCCTGAAGGACCTGCCTGGGGTCCCGGCAGGGTCCCAGCTGGGTCCTGGTTGGGGTCCCGGCTGGGTCCTGGCTGGAGCCTGGGCGGCACTGGCCTCAAACCTGGCCCTTGCCCACAGCCCCGCGGGGCCCGGCAGGAGGAGGCCGCGGCCGAGAGCCTGATGGACTGCATCCTGGAGAGCTTCGCCTTCCTCCATGCCGACCTTGCTCCCGACCAGCTGTCCCTGTTCGGGGACTCCCAGGGTCTGCGGTGAGTGCACCCTGCACAGCGAGGACCAGCTGGGACGCCTGGCCCAGGCTGCCTCAGCTCCGCGCCTCCCACCTACCTCCCGGGCCTCTTCCTCCCAGCGCTGGTGGTCCCTCCCTCCGTCCCCCAACATCCCCTGCCCACTCCAGACCCACCCGAGCTTCCTGCTCCAAGGAATGTGATTTTTTAAAAATCTGTAAACAAAGAGTGCACCGTGGGACCTCTTTGGCCTYAACTTCACCAAGGGGTCACAAAACCAATGTCTCCTGGTGACTGACGCTCTGGCCCTGGGGACCTGTGGCCCACGCCAGCGACAGCACCTGTCCAGATCACCCCCGTGGTGATCTCAGCAGCTCTGAAGGGTGCGGCCTGGGTTCCTGCTCCCTCCCCAGAGCCGCAGGGAGGGGCTCTTGGCCCAGCCACCCTCTGCCCTGATGCCACCTGGTGCCCACTGGCACCCTGMGTCTTGCTTGTGGGGCTTCACTGCCCACAGGTGGCAACAGGCGTCTGCTTCCTCTCTACTGCATGTGGGAGTAAAGTGGGGCTGGGGGGCGGACGTGTCCCGAGTCAGAGCTGGGCCCAGCCCCGCCTCCGGCCAGCCCCTGGGCCACACCCTGGCACCCGGGCAGCCCTGCTGCCTTCGCTCCTGAGCTTTGTGCTGGGCTTTCTCCTCAGTGACCTCCAGGCCCCTGGGACCTGGGTGGCCTCGCTGACWTCCGGTGGGGGGGAGGGTTTCCTGGCCTCACAGAAGTGGAGCCTGCTCACCCGATGGGTCACCAGCCTCTTCTCCATCCGACTCAGGAAGGACCGGCCCCCGCCGTCCCCACCGAAGGGGTCCTCCAGGGAGCTCACAGCTGGTGCCCGGGAGCTGGACGCGCTGCTCACGGTCCACCTGAAAGTCTGCAAAGCCCTGCTGCAGGTGGGGTGCTGGGGGGCTTGCTGGGCCAGGGGACCCCTAGGAAAGAGGCTGATCTCTCAAGTGGTGGGAGCATGGCACAGCGACAAGGCTGAGGTCCCCTGTGGAAGGTGCCGGCCAGCGCCTGGATGGGCAGTTGGGTGGCCCTGTGTGGCCTGCCCCTGAACGTACATGACACATCTGTAGATGCAGGAAGCTGAGTCCAAACTGGTTCCACCAGAAGGGAGATTTCAGGGGCTCCAGGGCCACCGTGGCGGGCTCTGCCCTTCCACTCTGCTTTGTGAGGTGGGTGGGTGGGTGGGCTGCACTTTTGGTGGCAAAGGTGGCCCCTGGCAGCTTAGCCTCCTCTTAAGTGGCTCAGGTGAGTGAGTCAGGGAGCTGCGGCTGAGGAGGACAGGACGGGCGGGGCACCAGGGGAAGGCGAGCCAGTCCCCGTGGTGACCAAGGCACCACACGCCGCCTCCAGAGACTGGCCTTCCCCAATCTGGCGAGGGTGGTGCAGGACTGCCTCCTGGAGGAAGCAGCCCAGCAAAAGCAGATTCTGGAGACGCTTTCTGACCTTGATTTTGACAAGGTCAGCAACGCGACATCCATTGAAGAGGGTAAGGAACTGTCCCCTGCCACGGGCTGCCTCTGGCTGGCATGTCCCGGGAGCCTTGCCCCCTCCCCACACCCAAAGCAGACAGCAGCCTGGGGAGGGTGGGGAGCAGAGACGCCCCGGGGCGGGCAGGCCACCTGGATCAGCTGGCGCACACGCCACCACCCCGGCCTCTGGGCAAGGCTTCGGTCGGAGTCACGGCCTCTCTGTGTCCTGGGGAGGCCACCGCCCAGCGTTCAGGCCGTAATCCCCGGGCACATTCAGGGTACACGGCATGCCCGCAATGGTAGCTGTGACCCCAGTTCTACCTCTGACCCCAAGGACAGCTCCCTTGTGAGGCCCGTTCCTTGTCCACAAGGAGGTGCTGGTGACAGCTGCTCCTGGTGTTGTCACGCCACCCCTGACTCCCTGACCTCGGTGCTGGAGGAGGGCCCTCGGGGATCCTGTGGCTTGTTCTTGCCACCAGCCACTCAGGCTGGGGAACCGCTCCCAGTCATTCCGCAGGCCTCCCACGGGAAGGGCTGCCTGGCGCTGTGGCACGGGTGCACGGGGCCCGGCAGCATCCTGTCCTGCCCCGCCACGACGCTCCTGGGCCAGCTCAAGAGGACCTTCCTGCACAGAGTCCGAGGGAAATACCCAGGACAGCTGGAAATAGGTAGTCCTCCCTCTCGTCCTTGCCACCCAAGGCTGGGCCTGCCGCATGGTGACAGGGGCTGTGTCACCCTTCCCCCTCCCTGGTCTTCATGGCACTGGGCAGGGGCCACCTCAGCTTGGTTATGAGCACCCTGCTTTCACTGGGAGGGCAAGGGCCTCCCCAGACGCACTTCTGAGCAGCTGTAGCCCCGAGGTGCATGCAAACACAGCGGGTTGGCCATTATCCGAGGACACATTCCATGCCTCCCAGCAGAGCCTTCAAGAGATGAGGTCAGGCTTAGAGGAAGGTGGCAGGTAAGGTCTGATCAAGGTGCCTTGAAATGCAGGTTGGGCCCCTCCCCGGAGTGCAGGGCTGCAGCGTTTTTCTCTGTTGACCAGGTGATGAGTGACAGTTGTATCCAGGCAGTGGCTCTGGGCTGCTTACTGATGGGCAGAGTCCCCGGCCCTGCCTCTGGTCTGAGCCCAGGGCTCAGCCACGCACCAAGGCTGTGGGACCCAGGGCCTGTGGACACAGCTGGGCACACTCTTTCCGCATGGCACTGGCGGTGCCGATAGGGAGCCTTGTGACGGGGCTGGCTCTGCCTGCAGAGGCCAGCCAAGGTCTTGGTGTCTCCTCACGGCCCCTTCCCTGTGGCCAGTGTGCCGCAGGCTCCTGGAACAGGTGGTCAGCTGCAGAGGGTTGCTCCCCGAGGCTGGGCTCCTGGAGCGACAGACTGTCACCTGGTTCCAGTTTCACAGCTACCTGCAGAGACAGAGCGTCTCTGACCTGGAGAAGCACTTTGCCCAGCTCACCAAGGAAGGTAGGGGCCAAGCTGGGCAGCCAGGTCTCAAACCAAGTTACAGCCAAGGAGCGTCCATGGGTCCTCTCCCTGGCTCTYGAAAGCCAGTCAGTTTCCCAGGTTACAGCTCAGTTTCTGCGACTTTCCCCTCTAGCTACTGTTTTGAGGTCCCAGATTTATTGAGATGCCACATTCGGCTGACACGGAGAAATCAAGTCCACAAGAAGGTGGCTTTAAAAGGTGGAGGGAGGGAAACGAGGGGAAGCTGGTGTCCTGGTGCATGCCAGGAGGTGAGGCAGGAGGAGGGAGAGTCTGAGTTCAAGGCCAGCTTCAGCACCTTGGGCAGCCCCGTCTCACACAAGAAGAGCACAGTGCAGACGTCAGAGCCGGGACGGTGGCAGTGGGCGGGCTCAGTGCCCAGAGTGGGGCTGTGGTGTCTTTGACTCAGGGTGTACCTGACCCCTGCTAGAAAGCCTTCCCAGGTTCCGGGAGGTCCCTTTTGCACGGTGTCCAGACAGGGCCTGCTGGGGACGCCTCGCAGTTCACAGCAGCTGAACCTCGACTCCCCCCTCCGCCCCCAGTCACGCTCACCCAGGAACTGCACTGCGCAGGGCAGCTCAGGACCGTCAGGAAGCTGCGGGGAAAGCGGCTGGGCCTGCTCCAGCCGCTGCCCCAGACCTTGAGAGCCTGGGCGCTGCTGCAGCTGGACGGGCCCCCACGGGTGTGCAAGGCGGCCAGAGCTCGCCTGGCCAGCGCAGCCAAGAACAGGAGCTTCCGGGAAAAGGTGAGGCATCTAGGAGGGACAGCCAGGCCCTGGCCGGGGCGGGCGCGGCGCTTCAGTGTTCTCAGAGACACGTGCGGAGTGGGTGGTGGGGCTGCAGTCCTGGGAGATTTGGGCTTCGGGATGGTCCCAGGAGGCCGTGTGTGATCGGGGCTGGGGAGGCCAGGCCACCAGAGACCACACCCCGACAGCCATCTGCTTCTAAAGCAGCGCCTCAGTCCACTCCCCGAGGAGGCTGCACACTGCATGCCTTCAGAGTGCCCATGGCCATCCCCACCTACTAGCYAGTTGGGGTTCACCTGAAAACCCCCTGCCTTTGTGGTCCTAGGTCTGGGACCAGGTGTCTTTCCGGCAGCAGCCCGAGGTGGGTGGGAAGGGTGACAGGGGCCTGTTCTGTACCTGGGCCTCRGCTCCAGGCCGGAGAGCGGATCTCATGGCCTCGCGGCCCACGGTCCTTCCTTGAGCACATGCACCTGGGGTTGCTTTTACTCTCTGTCTGGGGACTTCTGAAGCACAAAGGACACAAGGTAGGGAAACCCCCACGCGCTGCTGCCCGGGCCTGACCTGCCAGGGCCAGCCCCCGCCCACCCACTCCCCGTGGTCCAGCAGCTGCCCACACATCTGACTGACCTGTGCGAGCGGAGGCCCAGCCAAGACGGGGTTCTTGAAAAACCTCGACTCCGATAGCATCACACGGCTCAGAGCCACCAGASAGCACCCCTGATGCTGGCAGGTCCAACTCCCAAGTCTCCGGGGGGTTTCTGGCTAACCAGGGTCTCCAAGAGGTGAGCACGATGTCATCAGCTGACGTCGCTCAAATTTCACTTCATGCGAAGGCCCCACCTCTTTSCCCTGGAGATCACGTGTCGATGGCACTGGGCTGTCCCACGAGGCTGCGGGCATGGTGCGAGGATCATGCGCTCTGTCTTGTGCTGCCCCTGGACCAGCAGCTGGCTCACAGCCCAGGGCTTGGGATGTCCTGGGACTGTAACAAAGGCCTCCGCAAGGTGGCAGCCCCTTGGAGGTGTCTTGAGCGGGGGCGCTGATGGCCCTGTCCCCCCACCCGGGGGGTGGAGAGGGCAGCCCCGGGCGTTTCCTCACTGTTGCGCTCTAGGAGGYGCCGGGGCCTGCCTTGGGAGGAGGGCTCTGGATGCTTACCCCAGCTCCCCGCTTCCCAGGGCGGCCGTTTACTTACCACTCAACTAGGAGCTGGGTGGAGGCCAGGGCCTTGCACGTGCTRGGCTTGTGCYCTCCCACCCAGCCCCACCCAGCTCACGACTGCCACGTGCAGCTGGGATGCAGCCACTCTCCTCAGCTGCTCGGTGCCAATGTCTCTGGACCAGGAGGGCAGGCCCACTCGTCCTAAGGTCGCCCTCGCAGATGGGGATGCCAGGTGCCCCCCGGTCAGGCCCGTCCCCACCTGCTTAGTTCTAAGTGACCCTCACAACACTCTGTGACGCAAGGGCCAGGTTTCCTTGTAGCTGGGCTGAGTTAGGACCACAGAGGCAAAAAGACGTGGCCATGTTGTGTGGCCGAAGGGGACAGGGTCAGAGTTGTGGCTGGGAGAAGGTGATGAGGGGGAGAGACACCTTTGCCTCTGGCCTGGGCAGCAGCCCTGGAGGACACCTTGTYACTTCTGTGCTCTGAGCCAGCCCGCGGCCCTGTGCTGTAGCATTTTAGAAGCTGGCCATTTCTAAGGCCCGTCTCAGACACGAGGAGACAGACAGAYGGCGTTCCTCACCACCGTCAGTTCAGGGGTCAGTTTGGGCAGCTGAATTAGCCCTGCAGCATACATCCTGTGACTGTACGCCTGGCCCGGGGACGGATGGCGCCTGGGTTTTGTTGAGAACGAGCCCCGAGGCCTGCACCTGCCCCCTCTGCTCACGGGCTCTCTTCCCCAGGCTCTGCTCTTCTACACCGACGCYCTGACCCAGCCTGACGCCAGGCTCCAGCAGGCTGCGTGCATGGCCCTCCAGCAGCTCAGGGTGAGTGGCCCGTCCCCACCGGGGTCCCACAGGAGGCGGGGGGGTGGGGGTGGTGCTGAAGTAATGAACCTCAAAACGATTTCACTRGGACCAAAAAGGTGAGGGTCACCGCCAGCAAGGGCACCTGCTGAGTGGCTTTGGAGGAGAGCGGAGGCCCCAGACCTCTAGTGGGCACGTACTGGCCGTGGGCAAGGATGCAGGCGCTGCCAGGGACTTTTGGAGCCCTTGGGTTATGTGTTTTAAAGTGTTGGGTTTAGTTTTTTGGTGGGGCAGGSGATTAAACCCAGGGAATCCCACAGCCTTATATGCTTTAAAATTCTTAATAAATTTTAAGGTACACTAAACTTATTTAAAAGGAAGAGAATGTCAAAAACAGAAATGTTCTTGGCTGCACTGGCCAGGCGAGCTCTGGCCGCCTTGCAYACCCGCGAGTGCCCGTCCAGCAGAAATGGCTGTTGACATTTGGGGTATTCTTTTTTTCTGGGGATGAGCGATTAGGAATGCTGGTCACACGGAGCATGGCTTGAAAAGGGGCCACAGTGAGTGTTTTATGGTGGACCTGGAGCCCCTCAGAATTCTGCAGGGAGGTTTGGCAAGTGTATCCTTAGTTTAACCTACTTACCCACTCTCAGATTATAGAAAATGTAGTGTTTTAAAAGTGAAAAATTCAGGGGCTGGAGATGTACCTACGAGGTAGAGCACTTGCCTAGCACGTGTGAGGCATTGGGTTTGATTCTCAGCACCGCATATAAATACGTAAATAAAATAAAGGTCCATCAACATCTAAAAAAAATTAAAAAATAAAAAACCCACTTTAAAAGTCATAATGTCAGGCCAGGGCTGTGGCTCAGTGATAGAGCACTTGCCCAGTATGCGTGAGGCCCTGGGTTCGATCCCTGGCACCACATACACTAAACAAGTAAAATAAAGATATTGTGTCCATCTACAACTACAAAAAAAAATTAAAAAGTCATAATGTCACTATGAGTGTTTTGTGCATCAAGTTTTTAAAACTGTCCGGGTTCTGCCTCACCTGAGGCTGGACTCCCCAGAGACCCAAGTCAGTTCCCCGCTCACTGCTGCCATGTGCTTGGGCCTTTGAAAAGGCCTCACAAAGACAAGCTCTGAGCCTCTCTCTGGCAGCTCTCAGAGCTGAAGAGAGGCACTTCCCAGGGGGCCTCCAACGAGCTACAGCCACAGAGACCTGCAGGCCCCAGGACTCTGCTGGGGCGGTGTGCAGGGCTGCAAAGGGGTTCTACCTGCAATTTAAAGTGTCCCCTAGTAGGTCTTCATTCTCTTATCCTCCAACAGGGCATCGAAAGCATCGATCAGATTGCCAGCCTGTGCCAGTCTGACCTTGAGGCCGTGCGGGCTGCAGCCCGGGAAGCCACACTGTCATTCGGTAAAGTGGCATCAGAGGTCACATGTGGCATGATGGGGTTCCCAAGGCTCTTGGTGAAGTYGTGCAAGCGGTGCCAGCCCCAGCTCTCAGAGCAGAACAGCACCTGGGAGGGCACATTATGGGCCTGTCACTGCCCGGGTGCAGGGCCACTCCAACTTACCAGCGTCCTGCCTGAGGCAGGAGCCCCTCCTGGTGGAGGTGGAGAGACGCGTTTCATTGTCKTCTTAAACTTTGTATGATCCTTGGTGAGCGAGAGCCAGAGGCAAGGCAGGGCTGCAGCCTGGCCGACTGTCCCAGAGACTGGCTGAYTCGGGGGCAAGGCTCAGTCCAGCAGGTCACCAGGTTGAGAGGTCCCCAAGCACTCCTGCCCCTGTGTAGGACCCACATGGCTTGGCAGAGAGACAGCCGATGACAGATCACCCTCTATTTCAGGTGAAAAAGGACGCTTAGCTTTTGAAAAGATGGACAAACTTCGCTTAGAACAAAGAGACGGCTTTGGCCAGGAAGCAGAAGTTGAAATCACAGTATTTTAAAAAGCCTCAGCTGAGGAGCTCACATCTGGAATTTTTCCCCGTTGCTACGCAGCCCGACACAGTGCCTGAGCTTTGCGGGGGGCATACTGGGTGTCCCCCACGAATGTGAGCTGGTCCAAGTGGCTGCTGAGCCTCGGACTACTGCAAACCCTGGGGCCCAAGTGGCGCTTTTACAGAAGCAGAAGCCGCTGGTGTGCTGTGCGGCCAGGGCTGCGGCCTCACCCGCACACTCCGCTTCTGCCTTTGAGAATCTGACCCGCCCCAGGACACAGAGGCAGGTGGCCGTGGACAAAGGTGCCAAGGCCAGGCCAGGCGAGGTTCTGCCTGAAGGACTCCAGGTAGACGCGTGCRTGGAACGTGCAGCTTCCTACGTGTCCGCTGGCTCGGTGCTCCTGGCTCAGAAAATCCTGGGGCTGAGGGGCCGGGGGTGGGCCAGGTGGCTGACCATGCTACCAAAGCCTGTGGTGGCCCAAGTCATTTCAACAGCAGCTCGCGTCACCTTGGCGAGCAGGGGAGGTGGGAGGCTTGAGGCCAGCACGTCTATGCCACTCTGGCCGSCCACGCCTGGTTTTCACCACGTCCAACAGCACAAAGGAGAGCAGACAAGACCTGGCCACGGAGCCTGGGGCGTCACGAGCTTTGGTCACACAGGTCAAAATGGAACCCAACGTTTGAAGCAAGTCGACCTGAGGCCTGTTAAATAAATGGCTCCAGCAGCCACGGCTGGTGTGGAAGGACCTCGGCAAGGGCTGCTTTAAGAGGGAAAACTAGCCCCCCCCCCCGACTCTGTTAAAAAAAAAACAACACACAAAACCCCGTGTCCTGAGATGTGTGTCAACGATGTGGTGAACTGTGGGGTGTGACTGTCCTGTCAGCGCGGCACGACGGACAGCTTTGGAATGTTCTCATGTAAACTTCCYGGATAGATATTGTGCTTTATTTTTTATTTTATTTAAGTCAGTATTTATTTGCTTTGTTCATATGCTCCATTTTTTGAAATTTCAATTAAAAAGAAAAACTGTTTTAATGGCTGTTACACTTTACCCTCCAAAGCAGACACTGTCACTTCCCAGAGGACTGCGGGGAGGTGGGCCCTGCCTGCTCCTGGCGCCCTCAGCAGGAGGGAGTGTCCTGGACCGTGGAGGAGTGGCCTGGGCGCAGGCTCCGCTGGACACCGCCCTAGGGCCTCTCCATGATCCCCACCTCTCGAAGGTTTCCGCTGTGCCCTCTCCCGTGGGCACCCTGCGTGTGGCCTCTGTCCTCATTTCACCCCGTGGACTTCCGCCCCAGAGTCCTRCGTCATCCTCCCCAGTCTTCTACCTCCTCCACGACCACATGCCCTTCTTCATATCTGAGACCGTGAAGTGGGCGGCGGGCAGGGCACTGCCACTCAAGCCCCTGGGCTTCCGTGGGCACTCTGTGGCTCAGGACCCGTCCTGCTGGTCCTGTGGAGGGCCGCAGTGTAGACCCCGACTCCGTAGCCAGCTTTGAGGTGGTCGGGGAGCCCTGAGGGGGGTCAGGCAACACTGTGCGGGTCTGAAGTCACTTGGAAATCGGAAGTTAAACAAAAGTCACCACAGGGGCTTTGTATTGTTCAGTTTTGTCCACAAAAGGGGGCCACAGAGATCTGACATCTCATTTTCTTTCCAAGTCAGTTCTGTATCAAATGTGACTTCACACACCTACAGAGACACAGGAGCCACTGTGTGTGACAGGCAGTTGGCTAAGGGGACAGTTTCAGGGCAGTCCCCAGGCCCTGTGTGTCCAAAGGGCGGGTTTCTAAAGAGCCAGGCAGGGGCTCGTGGCGGCGACCAGGCTCATCAGCGAGCGGAGCTCCCCCCACCCAGCACCCAGCACCGGGGCTGGCCACCCCAGGCAGCCTCACCCACCCAGGGGACCACATCTGCTTCGCACCAGCGGGAATGAAAGAAACAGCGGCAGCCCTGGTTCAGGTGCATTAAGCAAAGAAATGGGAGGCACCAAATCCAAGTTCTTTAGAAAAAGGTTTTATTATTGCAACTAAAATGCAAACCCATCATTTATATGGCAAGTTGGAAAACTGTACAGTTTAACAGTTCTGTGAGGTCACAGAAGACCCTGAGACACGCCCTCCCCCCACCCGGTCATGCAGCCACGTATACACACCTGAAAAGGTATTGTAACCAAACACCTCGCTTTTTTTTTGTTTTGTTTTCAGTTTTGTAAAAATGGTTTATTCCACAGCCATTGTCAAAAATAATGGCCTGATGAGTAAATGTTGGCTTAAGGCAAATAGCAGAGCAGCTCACTACCTCCCTAACCTACACTAACAGACGGAGGAGGCCAGCTGTCCTCCGCGGACGGAGGCCAGCCAGTCCACCGTCGGCAACGGCTACTGTACATACACACCCAGCTACACACAGACGCGGACTGTGCGACAAGCCCAGCCGAGCACGCGCAGCCTGGCCCTCAGCCTCACCCACGCCCCACAAGGCTCTGCGGCCGCGCCTGAGTGTCCCTCAGGATCGCTCTGCGCCGGTTTCTCCCCCGTGAAAGGCAAAACGTGAAAATGCTGGCGAGAGCAGCTCAGAGCCACAGCTGCCTTTTTTCTTATTAAAAAAGCCACCAAATATGGAGGTCTCAGTCCCCCTTGCAGGAAGAGTCGTGAGCACCATCAGTCCCAAGGGGCTCCGGGGGGGCGGGGGCAGATGCCCCCTTCAGCAGGGTGCCCCAGGATGGAGATGCAGCAGGCAGCTGGCTCCAAGGGCCGTCGCTGGGCTGCTCCAAGGAGGCGGCTCCTGCGGCTGCCTTGCTTCCAGTCCCGATCTGCTCGTCCCACGGTGGGGGCCCTGATGCCTAAGCGTCCAGAGCGTGAGGTGTGAACAGGGCTGGCCATAGCCTTGGAATGTCTGAGTTACAGCGGGCCCAGCAGGACCAGGACAGGCCGGGCCTCACCAGGAAGTCATCAGAGAGTCATGYCAGGAATTAGGCCCACGTCGGCTCTTGGGAACATCATCGGAACATCATCGCTGTCTTGCTAAAGGCGGCTCCTTCAGCACCAGCCTTAGGAGCCACAGCCACGTAACGGTCAGGTCATGCAAGGGAGACTGCAGCGGACGGCACGTCAGGAAGCAGGAGTCTAAGGTTCTGTTCCCAGCCCGCGGTACTTCATGGGACACGGAAGCCCTTACATGCACTCTAATACGCACAGGGAAAGTGGTGACCGAGAACAAGGTCCTACCAGGTAACGGGGAGGAGAAGCATGGGGACTAGGTCATCTCCCACTGTGACTCTTACTAAATACCAAGTGCTCAGCATCTACCAGCTGAGCACCAGGGGGCCAGCGCTCCCCTCACTGACCCAGTCGCTGCACCCGCTGCTCACGGCCGTCCTCCCGCCAGCACTGGTCTGAGGCGGCAGGCCCAGGGCAGTGTCTCGCGCTCCCAGTACTACCTGAGGATTGATTTATTATTGTACTTTTTGATAAAGCCCTTGATGCAAGGCTGACATCAAAAGTTTTAATACATTATTGGTTTAAGAAAATGCTAGTGCAGTATGGACGCCTTTGGAAAAATTAAAATAAATATGGAGCAGAGAGACTACTCCACGGGGCTGCGTGGAGGCTTCTGGGGAGGATGGTGCATGTCGCTGGCCTGGGGTGCACCAAGAGGGAGCGCTCAGGTGGGGCGAGCCAGAGACGGGCACAGGCCGCCACCCCTCCCTGCCAMCAGCATGGTCCCCTGCTTTGCTCTCTTCAGAAGTGGGTTGGGATGTGGTACTCACAGGAAGGAGGGCAGGGAAGGAAGAAAGAGGAGCAGGGTGCAGGGCACAGGGCACAGGGCGCAGGGCGAGGCGCGGCCCGGGCTCTCCAACAGAATAGCGCCCCCTGCACGCGCTCCACGCTGCCCGTGGCCCTCACCCACCAGGCGCCTAAAGTCGTGGTGGGGGCGCTGAGAGCAGAGGTGGACAGTGGGCGGAGGAGGCCCAGGGAGGTCGGGCCATGCGCTGCTGCTGAACGGGAACTGGAATGAAGCCAAATAGGCAGAGGAGCCCCGGGCACAGCCAGAGCTGTCTGACCCGTGCACGCCCCCCGCCACCCCACCTCAGAGGGCACCATGATTCAAGGGGGCCTGGGGCTTTTGTTTTTAATGACAGGGCCCTCCCACAAATCACCCCCAAGGAAAAGATATTTGTATTTTGCTAATGCAACATGCACTCAAAGACGGTCACCTGGAAAGAGGTAAAATATTTAAAAGGATAAGAAGGTCACGTGGGGCAGTTTCCAGGGTCTCTGCGCCCCCCTCTGACCAGGGTGGGCCTCCCGCAGCACCTCCTCCCACGTGAGCGGGAGCCAGGGCTGAAGTGCCAGCAGTCACCCTGCCGTGCGGCCGACCCAAGGCAGAGGCTGCGGGAAACCCATGTACAGGGACGGGGTGACRAGGGCCAGCAAGTTAGCCAGATGACGGCCACACAGAGGAGCAATGGGGAAACGAGCYGCGGAAAACCAGCAGGGACACCCTGAGCAAGAGCAGAGGCGGGCTTGCTTTCTGGAGACGGCCTTGTGTTGTCTCCTCTCAACACAGGGAGGCTGGTGGGCACTGGCGGGCACTGGTGGGCGCCGGCGGCCCAGAGCGCCCACACCACAGCGCCCGGCCCTCTCCTCCAAGGGCATCTACATTCGTAAAAGTCTGGGATTTTTTCCCTGGGAAACCAAATATAAATTGTGAATCTGATTATACCGCCCAAGGGTATGAGGAAGTTTTTTAAGTGCCTAGTCTTCTTTCTTCCAGAAATAACCAAAAGCTGCTTTTTATAAAGGTTAAAAACAACAATGTGTTGTAATTCTATTTTTTTCAAAAATAAATGAACCAAAAAATAAAAAATAAAATAAAATWAAAAAAAATAAAGACAGAGAAAGAGAGAGAGAAAGACGTATTTGGCATTTTCTCTACTTACTCCTGAATAGTTGAGGCCCTGAGATTAGACTCTATGTCCTTGGGACCACAGGGCTCCTGAAGACCCCAGTGCACAACCCTGCCCTCTTCTCCTCAGCCCTTGGCAGTTCCAGCCTGAACCAACCCTCATCTGCTTCTTCTGAGACTGGCTCAGACGCTCCACAGAACGGAATCCCACACTGGGCTGGTGGCCAGTGCTTCCCGCCACGCGCTTGTCGCCAGCACCTCCGTCAATGAAAACATACCCTGTAGCAGAGGTACGCGCCGGCCGTGAGGACCGTGGCCATGCACATGTTGACCAGGAAGGGCTTCCAGTGGGTCAGCGTGGGCACCGGCGCTTCCTCCTCCTTCCTGGGTGGTGCCGGCTCTGCCTGGGCAGGGAAGGCCRCCTGGGTGCCCCTCGGGCCTCGGCCACGGATCCGACTTCTGACTTCAGTGTCTTGACTCGTGCTGAGGAGCAGGAGGGACAGGAGTGGTTACTGCCTCCAGGGAACGGGTGGCTGGACACCATGTTAGGGAGAGATTTTAGACAGAAACAGGCTCCCTCTTCAGAACCCAAACCAGCTTCCTGCCGCTTGGCTGGAGGGCCGTTAGAGCAGGCATTGGCCTGAAGCCCCCTGTCCCTCCCACCCAAGTGCCTCAGACAGCGCCTGCGTCAGGGAGGCCCCGTAGGGTGGGGCGGGGGGTTATGCCTGCTGCGTGTGCACCCTGCTTTCTCAGGCACTGGAACTTCTGTGCCTGGCCACATCAGGGCACCCAGCTCTCCTTCCTCAACAGCTGCAGAATACCCACCCCRCCCCTGCACAGCGAAGGAGCACGATGGCCCTGATCCCCAGACAGGTTGTGGCCACCTCCAATTCTACTGCCACAAATGATGCGATGTACCCAGTGACCTCACCTGTCCGCGCACCTTTCTAGACGCCCCACTGCTGGTTAAAGTAGCCACACATCTTAGCATCTCCCTMCAGGAAGCAGGCACCCGGGCACTGCCACCGGTGTCCCAGGAGGGGGTACTCCYGCTCACTGTGCAGCTTCCTGCAGGGCAGTGCCAGCTCCTGGGCGGCTTCCCTGGCACCTCAGCTTCCCTGGGTTTTCCTTTCCAAACAAGATGGCCTGCAATGCAGCCCAGGGGCCACCATCTGGCTTTGGCTCAGTCRGCCACCACGTCAACAGTGCTCACGATGCTGGGGTCGACCGACATAGGAAGCAAAACGCTCCAGTGAATTTCAATGAATTGAGCCGAGATGCCACCAAAAGATCAGGTTCCCCGGAGCTGCACCCTGGGGACACCAAACTGGACACCGCCTTTCAGGACCTGCCAGAASCCTGGGGGTGGACATGGGGTGGACACTGTCCTCACAGGGCAGAAAGGCCCTCCCTACTCATTCCACTGAGCCCGCTGCCAGTGAGTACCACCAGGTGGTGCCAGAACCCTGTGAATCTCCTGTTCCCAGGGCCATTCCGGGCCCAGAGAGGCCTCCTCCATCCAGGAGAGGGCAGCTTGCAGGTCCCGCAGCCCCCTGCCCAGAGCCAGCGCAGCCACAGGTTTCAGTACGTGCCTGTCCCAGGAACGGCAGGGCCCGCGGCTGCCCAYGCCAGCCTCTCACATTACCTGTCCGTGTTGTGGGAGGCCCTCAAGGGGGTCCTGGTCTCCTCCTTGATGGGGCCATCTTCATCCTCCTCAGCTTCGTCCTTCACCCACTGGTGGTTCGAGAAGAACTCCTTGCGTTTCCCGTTGTGGGGCTCCAGGATTCGCTTGGGCGGCCGGGGAGGTGGGGGCACGTGCTCAGGTGGGGGCTCCAGGTCCTCGTGGGACAGCTCCTTCCACTGGTCCTTCAAAGAGCAGCAGGAGGAAGGCCCGTCAGCCTCGCTCTGCTGCTGTGTCAGGAAGCCCGCCCGCCGTAGTAAGCAGAGGCGCTGGCCTGGCACGGGGCTCGGGCTCCCTGGCCCGCAGCCAGGCCCTTGGAAGGTGAAACCGTTTGAAAATCCAGCCCGTTCTTCCTGCCCTGGCTCTCTGGGGGAGCACCTCAAAGGCAGAGATTGGAACTCGGCAAAACCTCAACAACTTTCTAGCTATTTTAAACACAAAGGGCAGCTATTTCCTCTGACACCTGCCAGTGTTCGMACTTTATAGCTGACGACCTTCAAAGACAACCAGAGCGGGGGGCGCAGCTCAGTGGTGGGACACTGGCCTGCGTGCCCAGGGCCTGGTTCCGCCCCAGCACTGCCCACGCACGCGCACAGAGACAAACACTAAAGCGCAGCCGACCTGCACTGAAGAGTCTCCCATGATGAACTTGGCGCCTTCGATCACGGCCAGGTAGGAGAAGCGCAGCTGGTCGGCGGTCTGGATCAGCCCCATCCGGAACTTCCTCATTTCCAGCAGCACTTTCTTGATGTCCACAGAAGAAGGGTCTTTCCTCTTGTCCATCTGACCGTCAGAGGGGACACAGGATTCAGCCAGCCCCACTCCCCTGGGTGGGAGTGCTCTGGTTTGCCCCGGGGAAATCGCCGTGGGGCAGGCAGAGGAGTTCCAGGAAACAGGGAAAAATGGGGGAAATCTGGGCCCTCTGGACGGGGACTGGGGGGGTAGCGAACGAGGGGGAAGGGCTCTCCAGCTCCACCTGGGCCCACGGTGAGATGGGAACCCTCTGCGAACAGAGCCCTGAGGGACAAAGCCACCCCAGGGGTGTTACAAAGCCAAGCTGCCCTCACAGACAGTGGCCGGGAGCTGTGGCCGGGCTGGGGCGGGGTGGGCTGGGGCGTCCAGGGTGCCTTCCAAGACCTTCTCACCAGCAGGAGGCAGGTGTCGGCCAGGCAGAAGGTCCCCGACCTGCCGATGCCGGCGCTGCAGTGCACCACGATGGGGCCGTGCTCTGGGCTGAGCGAGCCCGACTCACGAACTTTGAAAAGGAAGTTCAGGAAGGAGGCTGGTGATTCGGGGACTCCGAAGTCAGGCCACGTGGTGTAGTGGAAATGTAAGATCTCCCGAGTCTCTTGATTCTGAAAGATAAAAAGACACACGACAGTGAGAAGAGTGTGGAGAAACCCAGCAAGCCCTCCGCAGCCTCCCGCCTGCTGACGAAGCGCAGAGCCCTGGGCCACCAGGCACCGGACGTAGACCTGCGGGCTGCCTCTGGGATGGCTCAGCCCCACCTGCTTCCCCCAAGGCCCCGCCTCCCCTGCCTACGTGGATACAGCCACCTTCTCTGGCCTCGCCAGCCACAGTGACGCGGCACTGCTCTGCCACCCGCAGTGACTTCATCAGAAAGCTTTTGTGCTTCCTGCAGAGGGTGAAGAAGCAACTGCACGTGTGGGCACCAGGCTGGGCCACCCGGGCCTCGAGGCTTCTGGGTGTGTCAAGGGATGGTGGGATCGTGGCCGTGTGGAGCCCAGCACCCAGCTCAAGAGATGCGCCCACTCTCCCCAGTTTCCAGAGTGGGCGGCTCAGGCTCTGAGGTGAGAGGCCCTGCTCAGAGCTGCTGCAGGAACCCGGGCCCTTGTCCCAAAGTGCTCCCCCTCCCTCCCCCAGCCTTCCAGTAACCACCAAAGGGTGCACAGCACACGCCACGTGCCAGCCCCGTGCAGGCACGATGGGCCCAAGACCCGGCTGCTCTCACAGAGATGCCAACTGTGACTGTGCCACAGGAAGCCATGGGGTCTCCGGCAGAGACACCTTCACATAMGAGAGCCACGCGAGCCCGTCTACTCTCCTCCCGTGAAAAGCACCTCCATGTAACTAGAACAGGACTATTTTGGCAGATGAGAAAAGCACTTAAAATATACTTTAAAAATGAAGAAGAAAGCACGCCCAAGCCAGGCTTCCCTTAGTCCCTAAAGAGGTGTGGGCCCCCGGGGGCCTTCCTCCGCCCGCTGCTCTGCTGCAGGGACTCCATTCTCCTTCGGGGCCCCATTGGTCACCTAGTGCTAAGAAAGGGCTTTTAATTTTATTTTTTTACTTTTTGCTGCAGTGGGGAGGGGACCCGGGGCTGTGCACAYGCTAAATAAGCGTTTGACCCGAGCCCCACCCCAACCCTTTAAATTTTTTATTTTGGGACAAGGTCTCACTAAGTTGCCAAGCCTGGCCTCATACTTAGGACGGTCCCGCCTCAGCCTCCTGAGCCGCTGGGACTGCAGGTGTGCCCGCCTGGCTTCTCAGGGCTCCTGAATAACGCAGTGGGCGGGAGCGGACAGGTCCTCACACAAAACCCAGTCACAGCTGTGCACCCTGTGACTTCAGAATTCTGAGCTGCTCCCCTCAACCACCTCAGGCAGACACACAGGAAAAGGACTGGAAAGGTGGACTACTTCGCGAACAAGCACACGCCACCGCGGAGAAGTGACACGGCTCCTCCCTGGTGCACAGGGCAGAAAGGGCAGAAAGGGCAGGAAGTGCAGGCAGCTGTGCCGCMGCATCCAGGAGCCACACTGCTCCAACCTCTTCACTTCCCGGCCACCGGCACTTGCTCCAGATCTTACTTCAACTATTGATGCAGTAACAGGACCACGGGGCTGTGCTGCAGCACGTGRGCGCCATCACCAGGAGCAGGCCTGCTCCCCAGGCTCCCGTGGCCCCACCTTCCCTCACACTAACTGGACTGGCCTGGACAGCGCCACGGGACCACGGGCCTGCGTCCGCGTCACCTGCTGACCCTCCCTCCCATTCCTACCTCCCAGGGCCCTCCAGAGCCCAGTCTGACAGGATAGGAGGCACGGACACGGGGTGGTGCAGCCCCTGCCCCCAGAGTCACAGTCTGAAATGGCAGGGCTGGGACTCAAACACGGGCAGTTTGGCTCTAGAGGCGGTGGTGGCCACCATGTTCAGTGTTGTCCCCGCTCTGTCTGGAGCCCCTCCCACTGTGCCCAGCACTGTACCCCTCCAGGTCATGATTCAGATTGCTCACAGGCAGGGCCCGCTGTGGTACTTCTTAACAGTGTCCTGCCACGTTCCAAGACAGTCTTTTAGTGACAGCAAGCAGCTGTGTTATGACTCTTCACAGAGCAGACACACCCGAGGCCTTGCCCAGGAGACCTGCACTGGCCGAGAGACCGGAGCAAGCCCGGGAGGCTCCTCGGAGGCCGCAGACCATAGAGGCGGCGGCACGCTGTGGCATTTAGCTTTCAGGTGGCCCAGGCAGGGACAGATCACTGGTAGATGAGAAGCCTGTCTCTTCCCGGAACCGGAGGGCAGAGAGCTCCGTGGAGGGAAAGCACCTGACTCCCACCCTCCCGAGCGCCCCTGGCACTTGGTAGGTGCACGACGAGCTCTGCTCACCCCAAGACCATGTGCAGCGCAGGGTTCAGACACAGGGAAACGCTTCATTGGGTCAGGGAGAAGCAGCCCAACTAGCAAGTGTCCACGAGGTGCCTGAGTGCAGGTGGTCTTACCGCAAGGTTCTCCAGCTCCAACTGTCGCACTGTGTAGTAGGACTTGATGTCTTCAGAGATCAGCGTCAATTTCAAATTTGTGTCATCAAAGATCATCTCCTTTTCTTCTTTCTGCGGCCAATACTGTGCACATTTTAACTATGGAAGGAAATAAAGCTGAATCATTGTGAGCAACCAACTGTTTTCCCAAGACAAGAGGCTTGGAGACCATTCCTGAGCTTTATGACAATGTAAAGGCCTAGAATTTTCTGAGCCTGGAAGACACGGTCAGCGTAGCAGCCTGTTTCTTGGGCTTGGAGGGACACTGGAGAGTGATGGGGTGGCCATGCGGACGGGGCTCAGCCTCACCACCCAGCAGCTCTGGGTCTCTGTAGCAAGGGGGTGCTCAGGGGTCTGACCCTTTCCCACCAGCTGTTCTGCCTCCTGCAAGGGCCTGTATGCAGCCAAACCTGACCCAGCTGCTGGTAGATGCCTCACCCCAAAGGAAACCTCACAGGAACTGAAAATGAGCCCCGAGGGACGTGAATAGGCCCTGGAAAGGCTGAGCCGCACAGGATGCACCGACCCAGAGAGGGCTGGAGGGCGGGCTCGGCTCACCCTTTCGTTCTGGTTTGGTTCAGTCCAAAAGACACTTCTTGAGTTCTATTTTGATAATTTCAGAAACTACTAGATGAGCTGAGGGTCAGTGGCCTCCGCTGCCCTTGGCTTCCTCCTCTCCCTGCTCGTGGTGGCGGGAGCCCACTCCGGCACAGGTGGCCTTGAACCACCAGGTCAGACTTTCCTGGGGTCCAGCTGTCACAGTGTGGGAGGGAACACGTTCTTGCCAGTTTGGTGTCAAAAGTAAGAAAACTTAACTCAGATTTAGTGGATACTTTGCTGGGACAAGTCCTATGTCAGTTAGTCAGGACRTCTCTGCTGGTGGGTGGCTGGGGTGCCCTGGACAGCAGTTGGGCAGGGCTGGGCGTGGGCCCAGCAGAAAGTCTGACAACCTGCCAAGGGACCCTGGGAGATCTTGCAATTCCCAACACAACACCAGTGTGTGCCAGTCACGCTCGGGATGCACACTGACCCCACTGGATGCTCCTCTGGGGCCAAGGATGATGGGAGCGCAGGAGCCAACTCAGGGCTGGCCTTGTCTGCTGGGAGAGACCACTTCTCCAGCAGTGACAAGGTGGACAGTGGGAAGGGCTGAGGGCAGAGCGCTGAGACTGTGTCCTGGCACTCAGAGGAGGAGATGTTTCAGGCCGGCTAAGGAAGAGCACAGAGGCAGCTCTGGAAGAGGAAGGTTCGGAGGGTGACCAGCACTCTCTGGGCAGTGACCTCCGAGATCCAGGCTAGGGGAGCAGCAGGAGAAGGGCAATGGGGGCCCAGAGCCCAGCTGGTGCTGACGTCAGGCCAAGAAAACCGCAGCCTCCCTGGGGTGGCAAAGGGCCAGCGGCTCCCGAGGAGGGAAGAGGGACGTCGACGGTCCTGCTCTGCTGAGGCTGGGAGCTCCCACAAACAAGACCAAAGCAAAGGCGAGAGACACCCATGAGACTGCCACCAACAGGGCTTTCTCCAGAGCCCGTCGTAAAGCTTGGGCCAGTCTCACCCACGTCATCCAGTCACCAGTGATGAGCTGCTGGAGATGAGAYGAGACCTGGATGGGGCTGGGGGTCAGCACCAAGGCAATTCTGCCACACGGGACGTGGGCACGGGCCAGGAGGCAAGAGCCCGTGGAGCCCAAGGGCCAGAGGCGCGGGGAGCAAGACCTCCGCAGGCCTGGCCAGGAYCGTTCCCTCCCACACTCTGACAGCTGGACCCCAGGAACAGACTGACCTGGTGGTTCAAGGCCACCTGTGCCGGAGTGGGCTCCCGCCACCACGAGCAGGGAGAGGAGGAAGCAGAGGGCAGCGAGCGCCCACTGACCCTCAGCTCGTCGGCTGGGCAGACAAGTTTTCCATCTCACCTCCATTTGGCAAGCACTCACTTTCAGAACTAAAAATAAAGCTTGATAAATCTTTATAATCTGGGCAAAAACTAAGATTACAGAGGATTTCTGGCACATGACCAAGCACCCGTCAACCAATATTTAATTTTAAGAACTCTTTAGGCTTCTACAGGAACCTCTCTGTTGTTTTCTATAAAAGTTTTTGTTTTAAACACACAAAATAWGCACCCGATCACTACGGCAGATACCCTATTAAACACACCAACTTGAATGGGAGACTGACTTTTATGAGAAAATAGTTCGTCACTGGGGACTCAAAACTGAGGCCTAGCTGGGCACGGTGGCACACACCTGTAATCCCAGTAGTTCAGGAGGATCGCAAGTTCAAAGCCAGCCTCAGCAACTTAGCAAGGCTCTAAGCAATTCAGCAAGACTTTGTCTCTAAATAAAGTATAAAAAAAGGGCTGGGATGTGGCTCAGTGGTTAAGTGTCCCTGGGTTCAATCCMTGGTACCAAATCAAACCAAACCAAACTGAGGCCTATCTTGGTTGGCACCAGACAGAAAAGTGGTGGCATTGCGAGTAGCTGCCATTTCCACCATGAAGGCAGGTGTCAGTGAGGGTCCTCAGGCCTTCCTAAACAAGTGGCCAAGCCGTCGTAGGAACCACCTCTGGGAGCCAGTCCTGGACCCTGAGATGAGTGACGTGGTTTTCCCGAATATGAACAGAGAGCTGGTGCACAGAGCAGGAGGTGCATGGGCACAGGCCACACGACAAGATGCAGGTTCGTGTGCGTAGAAGCCCGGAGCCCAACCGTGGCTCCACAGGGTTTGGGAGAGAGACAGGCCAAGTTCYGGAAGGGCGCGAGAGACTCATGGAGCTCACTCCCTCTGGCTGAGCAACAAGCCAGCCCTCACACAGGCTTGCTCCATGTTGACGTGTCTAAAGTCAATTTTAAAATTGAACCAACAAGCACTTTGGCCATGTGCGTGACCCCATCCAACACACACAATTATCTTCTGCAAAACTGGCTTCCAGGAATGGAGGTCCCAGGAGGTCACAGTCAGGTCTGCCAACAGTAAGGGGGGAAATTCCTRGGCTATTGGTGAAAGAAGGAAAGCAGAAAGCAGATGGAAACTCTCTGTAAGCAGGTCACAGCACGAGGAGCATGGACGGGGACAGCCAGGTGAGAGCCATCCAGACCAAGYGGCTTCTCGGCAAGCCCCGACCCCAGCCAACCCTTCTGGAGTGATCCTGTTGATGCAGAACGGAAGAYGCTGATCCCCAAGAAACATGCAGCGGTTTTTGTGCCAATCTGCATGCCTGAATAACCAGACTGGACACTTACAGCAGACAAGGAGGAGCACTGCTACCTGTTCACAGAGAACCACCTCAGGCCACCAGCCACGGTTCTGACGGCCAATATTACTATATCTCAAGGGGGAACGACTGTTGCAGTGATCTGTGGTCTATTTATGGTCATTGCTGGGTAGGAAACAACAAGGCCCAGTGACGAGCATGTAACTATGGCACCCGACCCAGCTCCGTGTTGTAATATGACAACAGTTGCTAAAGCAAACTGTGAACTAATAGCAAAGAGGTTTTCCTGGAAATGAAAGCAACATTCAAATCAATCAATGAAAGGAAAATTTGATGTTTTTTGAATGAATATCTTGACTTAAAATCCCAACCCCCGGTATCACCCAGAGCAGTTCTAGCCAGCAGCAATCCTGCCCCCCAGGGACCCCGGACACCCGAGCCCGAGTGCCACATTTGGGAGATGGATGCTACTGGCACCTAGTGGGCGGGACCAGAAAAGCTGCTGATCATCCTAAAACACACAGGTCAGCTCATTCCAGCAGAGAATGGCCAGCCCAATGTCACTTGTGCTGAGAGGTTCCAAAGCTCTGGGTTCAATCACTGGCAGCTCCCCAGCAGAGCGCGCCCTGGGAACCTAGAGCTTGGTGTCCGGCACTGCTGACAGGAGTGTGGGAGGACAGGGCTGGAACCTCACCTGTAGTAATCAGGCCACAGAWGCAGAAAGGGAAGAGTGAAAAGCCACTTTCACCAAAAAAGCAGTCCTACGGGGAGAGGCGTAGGATGGTCTGAACCCGCAGGCTGGCCGCCTCTGGCACTGCGCAGACACTGAGCCTGTGTGATTCACAAGGGGGTCGCAGTGAACTCAGGGGAGGCCGCAGCGACTCCAGCCCAGGGCCTGTCTCTCAGGAGCTGCCGGGCTGCTTCCTCAGCAGGAGACGGTGGCACTGTGGCTGGTGCCAGGCACATGCTGCCCACTCCCTCTCTGATGCACGTCTTCTGTGCACTGAATTTTTACTCTTTGGAACATGACTGTGCTTTCTTTGCAGGGTGGCTTCTCTGTCCAAGGCAGCCAGGACAGCTAWGAGAGCACCCAGCTGACCCCCAGGAGCACAGTGCCAGGCCGGGCAAGGCCCAGGGATACCCAGTTCTCTGGTCCCAGGCTGCACATCCCTACGATCCTCAGCTCATCTTCTCCGAGGGCCTCAACTTGACTCTGAAGCTGGGAAGCCCCAGAAGAGCTAGCAGAGTCAGGGAGGGGCGGGTGTGGGGAGCAAGGAGCCTGTGGCCCTGCTGAATGCCAGTCTTGGCCCTGCCTACGAAGCCACTCCTACAACAGAGAGACTTGAGGGGAAATTACAGCAGAGAGAAGGATGAAGAACGGCACAGTTACCACGTGACCTGGGGGCAGCAACCTGAGGATACCTGGACATGGGATGAGGGTGGCGCTGTGATTCAGACCCTTGGATCAAAGAACAGGGTTAAGAAACTGAAAGAGAAAATTTGTCCTGGCAGGAGTCTGGAGAGTGGGGACAGTGAGGTAAGCAGGCCTGAGTGCAGGGCTCTGTAAGTCGCCATGTGTCCTCCTGTGAGCAAGGAGAAACAGGGGTTTCAGCTGGGAAAAGGGGTGGTGAGCCTGAGTGAGGAAGAACATTCTGGAAGCATGGTACAGAATGGACTGAGGCAGCAGCTGAAGCAGGGGTGGCTGAGGGACAGACGTGGGAGGGGCAGGGCTTTAACAGGGGCACAGAACCCACGATGGCAGAGTGTGACGGTGCAGCGGGCGGCTCCCTGCTGGGCCTCTGGGCGTTTCTGGGCAACAAATCTAACCTCGAGGCCAGCGGCCTCCAGGGCTCCGCAGCCACCTCTGCATGTCCACAGGARGCTCTCTGACCAGCCGGGAGGCAGGCTCCATGAACATGCACCGAAAGCTGCTTGTCAAGAACGGCSGCGCTCACCCGGCTCCACAGCAGGGGATGAGGAGCCCCGCATGGAGCGGGCAGCCCACCAGCGGGGGCCAGCTRCGGCAGGCTGGCTCCTCTCCCTTTCCGTTCAGGGAACTGATTGCTTACAACAAATGGGTCTTTATATATCACTTCTATGATTTTTTAAATGACAAATATGCTATGCAAAGGAACTACAAACGTAATTTAAAGTAAAAATAAATCAGGACCAATGGACCGACATCAAGAGGAAGCAGCGTGCGACTTACCGAGCCCTTCTCCATTACGCGGTTGAGCATGACCACGCCCCTGCTCTTCTGTTCCCACACCATCTCCCAGAAGTGCCCACACGTATTAGGCAAAGGACCCTGCAAGCACACAAGACCAGACACGGTGACGCGGGGACACCACAGCATGGGCTTACCTGTGACAGTCAGCAGTCGGGGGCACCCTCAGGTCTCCCAGCCCAGGCAGAATGGAGGCGAAGGCAGGAACAGGGCTGCCCTCCTAGCCTGGTGGGCAGCTGCCACAGTCCTGTGTCAACCACAGTGGCGCACCCCATGCAGGCTGCCAACGTGCTTCCTGGCTTGGGCTGGCTGAGGGGTTCCCGGGCTCCTCGCCAAGGGCAGGTGGGACGTGGGACAAAACTCTCGAGGCAGTGAGAGGCAGCAAGAATGTGACCAACTGTGACTCTTCCAATCATTTATCACCTTGTGACCTCAGGCAGGTGCCTGCGTCCCCCTCTATCTCCCTTGAGTGTAAACAGCTCCTCGTCCCAGGGCGTGTTCACAGCCGTCAAGGACTGAGCCCATGCTCAGGGGCACCCAGCAGAGGGAAGCCCCACTCTTACCATCACCCAGACCTGACCACACTCGGCCTTCACTCCTGGACCAAGGAACACAGGAATGTGGACACCCAGATGGTCATGCAGGTGGGCACGGGGACGCCTGCGGAGCAGCTGGCCTATCTGGCTGCAGCCCGCCRCCCAGTTGGCACCAGTGTTCCAGGATGTAGCACTGCCTGGGAGGAACGTCACCAGCGCCACCCACCAGGGCGAGCAGCTCCCTGGGGCCAGCACCACGTCTCCAAGAGTGCTCTGCCCGCCCGCTGGAGTCCCCGCAGCTGCCCCACTCCTCCGCCTGCCCTCCCTCCTGCAGCGGCCTGCCCTCAACAAGCTCCCTCCTTCCCCAGCTCAGCTCCAGCCAGCAGGGGCCTTCACACAGGCCACCCTCCCCCAGCTAACAAACGCAGCTCCTGCAAGCACAGCCCTGGCTGGCCACTCTCTCATGCCCTGAGTCTGGCTCGGAGAAGGGCCCAGCCACACTGACTGGGAGGGCCACTGTGCGGGAGGCTGTTTTGATTCCTTCTGAAAACCCCAGGGCAAGGGGAAGCGTGAGCAGCTCACCGACATCAGTGGGCCCACCAACAGGACTGGCAGAATGTCACGGGTTCCAACAACTGCGAGGGCAGGGGGTGGGGGGAGGCACGGGAAACCCTTCAATGCTCAAGCTGACCCTACACGCCCTAGAATGGGGGACTAAAGTGCTTCCTGACCTCAGCAAGGCGACCTCTCACAGGAGAAGCCCTGGAGAGGTCCTGGGCCTCAACCCCGGCCCCCAGCAGGCAGGCCCCACCGTCCCAGGGCCCTGTTCCCAGAGGCCCAGCCCGACACCTAGAGGTGTGGGAGGAGCAGGGGCTGGGGCCTGGGGGCGGCTGGTGCACAAGCCAGGAACCCACTCCACGCCCTGCGGCCGCGCTGGCCAAGCTGAAGGGCCCCACGCTGACTGGGAGGCATGGGTCACGGGTGGGGACGAACAGGCGGGACAAGAAGGGAGGGAGAAGGGCCAGTGACACATACGCCCTGGCCCAGGTCCCTGTCCAAAGCACCTTTGTTCCCAAGGCTTCCGGCTTTGCCAGCACTTCCATTTTTACACAGCAAGCACAAGGTGCTCCGTCATCCCACAGAAGCCCGACGGCGAGAAGTGACCATCAGGAGAAAAACCAATGGGGAGCTTCAGACTCTTTAAGCCAGCCTCAGGTAACGGGCAGGACGGAGAACAGCGAGTGACTCAATTAGCCGATTCATCAGTAAGAAGAAAGAGTCGCTTTACCCAGTCTAGACACTTGTGGTCTTGGGGTCACAAACCATCAAGTGTTCACCGAGGCTCGGTTATCATTAGACCACCGCGCGCTCTTCTCCCATGACGATGCCAAAGGCTGGTGGGAGTTTTCAGTGACTATTYGCGCCTGTCCCTCTTCTCTAATGACACTTTTCTCGGGGCCAAAAGAGGGGGCCGTGGTGAGGAGTTCCGCATGGCTCTTGGGACAGAGGTGACTGGCCTCCTGCCACCCTCTTGCAGAGGTGCTTGGCGCTGAGGCGAGTCCTCGAGAATCAGCATGGTACAGGCCCTTCTAGGCCGGGCGCCAACCTACAGCCGCTTCTCTGTGCTTCCTTCCCGCCCTCTGTACCTTCCGGAACAGAGCAGAGTCACAACAGGCTGAATCTTCAAAGGAGGATGTTTTTCCTATTTTGCTCGTTGGTTTATTAAACACCTGAACTTCTAGACAACATGGCAGGCTTTGTTTAGGCACAGACAGTTAAACTCTTTTAAGTTAAGGTTAAAAAAATCCCAGACAACCTGTTTACCTGGGTGAGAATGTAACTCCTCTGGGCTTCCTCCATTGTTATCAAACTAGCGTTGATGTAGTCGTTCTCCTCCTGGTGCAGCTTGATCCGACTGTGGTCAACTGAAAGGCAAACAGAACCCAGTCCATCTGGGGGTGAGATGTCCACACAGCCGTGCACCCCACAGCAGAGAGGGGAGCCCAGGGCTGGCGGGCACTGCCTGCCGTCTGTGTGGGCGACTGGCATCTGCAAAAGGCTTCTCTGAGCGTCTGCAGCTCCGAGGGAGCGGCGGCAGTGACGGGCCACACGAGGCCCTGCACAGGCCCCAGCCCAGGGTCTGCTCTAGTCCTCCCTCCTGTGACAGCATCACACTCCCCAAACTTGGAGGGCCACACTGGGCCACCAAAGGAGCCATTTTCTAATGCTTAACAAACTTTTACAGGGTAAAAAACACAGCAGCTTTAATCTTTTTTTTTTTAATAGATGGATACAATACCTTTGTTTTCTTTATTTATTTTCTGTGGTGCTGAAGATCAAACCCAGGGCCTCGCACGTGCCAGACAGTGCTCTGCCCCAGCCCCAGCCCCAGCCCCACGTGGCTTTAATCTTTGAAAGGGAACAAAATTTACCAAAAAATCCCACGCAGCCCTCCCAGCTGTCGCCGGCACAGTGAGCGACAGCAGCAGGAAGGCTGTGACCGTGCCTCCACCCAACTGTGTCCACAGGCAGGAGACTTGATGGCCCGTCACCCAGCGCCATGGAGGCGTACCTGGGATTCTTTTATGCAAGTTTTTTTTTTTTTTAAAGTTCAAGTATAATTAACTTAAACAATTCAGGCCTTTCAAAGGTCATCATCAAAGACTTTAAAAAGAGAATTTGGCTGGGAAAAAAACTCCAAACCCAAAACACTACCAATATAGAAATGTAACTTTTAGATTAGTTTTTAAAAATAACCTCATTTGGAATTTCTACCCCAGGTTACTGGAAACCAACGCCACTTTCTTTCATCATGATTGTCACAAGAGCAGCGCCACCCTGAGGGCCACTCTCCTTATCATGCTGGTCCACGGGAGCAGGTGGGTACTTGCATTCCTGGCACAGCATAAGGGACAATGAACCCAGGTGACCCCCCCTAAATAGTACCTTCTCTCTGAGGCCAACAGGAGACGAAGAATTACAGGGAGGGTGAGTGGCTTGTGGCTTTTATTCTGAGAAGGGCTCCAGAGAGAGGGGAGCCTGAGCCCTGGCCACCGCTGCACCACGAGGGCAAGGGCTGGTACAAACTGCGACACCTGGGTAATTCTCAGTGGATCATGGAAATAAAAGATCTCAAAAGCAATCGTGTGACTGGCACTGCTGGGCTGGTGGACTCAGACCACACCAGGTGGCCCTGGGTGACAACTGGTCCCCTGGGCCTTGCATTCTCACTTGCCAAGTGCAAGGCTAACAGGAGTACTTCGGGAAGAGGTGGCCAGGGCATGTGAGTGCAGAGCTGAGCTCAGCTGCCGGCGCAGAAGAGTGCTCTTGACACCATCAGCGACTTGAGTCAGGTGGCAGGTCCCCTTCCACCTGGACTCAGGCCCCCTTTCCCCCTAATGTGAACAGCAAATCACTTTTCCTACTGGAAGGTGAGGTGGGGGAGGAAAAGGAGGACAGGAGGAATGAGGTTGGGCGAAAAAGTTCAGGAATTACCTCCCAGGAAGAATGCGTTAAACATTGGAAAACTGGTTCTTAAACCATTTAGATAAGAGGTAAAAATGTAGCCAATGCATATCACAGACAACATCGCTCCCTGGTTCAGAGCAAGTACGGCAAAAGCTAGCGACCCAGGGTAACCTGGCACCATAGGAAAGAGGTACACCCTCACTGTGCCGTCCACTCAAATCAGCTCTCCAGAAGTTTCTGAGCAGGGCTTCACAGCGGCACCAACAAGGTTTATGGTTCTTATTCATTTTTTTTTTAAATAAATACTTATGCAGTGCCTCGGGCTAGACATGCTAAAACAAGAGCATCGGGTGCTCGGGCACCACCGTGGCACCTGAGGACCCAGGACTGCACTTCAGATGTCCCGGTGGTAGCGGTCTCCGCCTCGGCCGATGTTCACTGAGTGCTTTCTACGCCTGAGCAGGCCTGGGCTAAGCGGCTGGTGCGTTTCATTCCATCGTCACACACTCCCACAGGTAAGGGTGACCCCTGTCTCACTGGCAGTCAGAGAAGAAAGCCAGCTGCCGGAGCCACACAGTCCTCGGTGGCAGAGTGAGATGCAAAGCCAGCCAGGGAGCGTGCAGCGGCCAGGAGGCACGTGCTCCTCAGCAATTCTAGGTCCCGGAACCTGAGCACTGCCGAGACCCCGGCAGCCATCACCCTTCTGAGTCCCCTCCAGGGTCTGCAGACCCTGTGCATGGTGATGGCTGCCGAGGTCAGCAAACAGTTCAAAGCACTATTTTTTAGCTTGACTGTCTCCTCTAGGCCCAGGTCTTGAAATCAGCTCTGGTTTTTCTTGTTTTACACAAATTCTAACAAGTTCAGTTATTTATTTTCAAGATATTGGCATCCTGGGTGCTAGTCGCTCAGAAGGCAGGAGGGTGCCGAGGCCAGCAGGCGCACCCACACTGTACGAGGGAGCAGTAGTGGTGGCAGAGACGTGGCGGGGCTGGAGGGGTGCGATGCACAATTAGAGGCGGATCCACAGCCCCCACCCAACTGCCTGTGTGGGGCACCCTGTGGTTCAACATGAGGCTGGGCTAATAATACTGCTGCTGAGTCACCAGAAAGGTTCCATCAGGCCTGCTCCACTCTGCTTCAGCTGGTAGGGAAATGATTCATTACAAAACAGTCAAGCTAGAAAAAAGTGCTTTGAACTGTTTGCTGAATTTTCCAGAAATTGAAACCTTCCCTCTACAATGCTGGAAAAATGAGCCATTACTATAAGTCTCCAATGTCCCTGTTACAGCAAACAATCAAGTCTACAATCGATTTCTTGCAAGCCTCGGGGCGAACAGCGAGCTGACCCACAGGCCCTGCAGGAGGAGGGGAAGCGGCCTGCGGGTGGATACTTACAGGGACTGACATCTCGGTACCTGTTTCGGTTTTTGTTCTTAGGAAGCTTCGCCACTCTACAGGGGAAGTCACTGGCTTCATGTCGGATGTCCTACAAAAAAGGATAAAGAGCTCTCTTGAAATCTCTGGCACTGGGCATCCACCAGGACATCTACCTGCGGCCGGCGTGCCAGGCACAGACACTGCAGAGGGCCGGGCTGTGTGGGAAGGGCGGGGAGATAGCTCAGAGATGTGTTCAAGGTTCCAGGAGGTAAACAGGAGGACCGAGCCCAGGTCTGGGGTGGGAGGCAGTGACTTGGCTGGGAGCCACGGATGAGGACGGTGAGGACGGAGGCAGAGACAGAGGTGGGGGCGTCGTTCGCTTCACTCAGGAACACCCAGCGGGCAAAGGCTGTGGAGTCATCCTGTGCCAGGAACAGCGAGTGGGCAGTGGGAGGAACAACAGACGCTGGAGGACGCGGTGGGCAGGCAGACCTCCAGGAGCGTGGAATGCCAGGCCTCAAGTTCCACCGGAGCCTCTCCTAAAAGGACACGCACGCCAGCCAAATCCCTGCTCCCCCACTAAGGGGGGAGCCGCCTCCCTCCTCGATCCAAGAGACCCTCCTGGCCCTGCTCCAGGACGACACAGGCCACCCCGTTCCCTCCTCGTGCTCCCCGAGCGCACAGCCATCCATCACAGGCGCATCTGCTCCAGAACTGCCCGAGACCCCCACACAGCCTGCTGCGCTCACGGCCACTCGCCTGCACCTGCAAGGATGGTTCAAGTGGTAGACTCTAAATTTTGTAGGTTTTACCACAATTCAAAAAACAAAAAAAAAACCCACAGTGGACAGCAGCCAGTGAGACAATGGTGACAGGATTCTGGAAGCTGAAGTCAGGCCGTTAGGAGCGCCACTACCTGGGAGAGCCACCGACACATCAGCAGCCGGGCAGCCGGGGCTGTCCCCAGTCTGTTTTCTGTAAACGTAAACTGGAGCTGAACTGGCACAGTGAGGGGGAGATGCCCCGCCCAAGCCAGGGGGTGAGGGACACCCTGCAAGCTGCACACCAGAACCGTCCTTCCCTCCAAAAACGCACAGCGCTGGCGGCCCCGCCCCTCCAGGCAGCGGGCTGGGACCAGACCCTCCCACAGCTGTGAAGCCCAGGCCTGGACGCGCCACCTGTGGGGCTCCCCATCTACCTGTACCCCCTCACAGGCAGACAGCACTGACGACAAGACATGGCAGGACAGTTTCTAAGAAAAAGGCAAAAAGCCTCTCGGATGAAACAAACTGCGAGACCAAGGGCGGGGCGGGGCGGGGCGGGCCCCTGCCTCAGCACCACAGGAACATAAAGGCTTTCTGTCCCTTTACAACCACAGGACGATTTTAGAATATGTTACCAATATGGTCAGAAAGATAAGAAAAGACCTATCTATAAATTAAGAACAGAATATTATAGAAACAAAATTTTCTCTTGGAATTAGAAACAAAATAACAAAATTGGTAAGTTCAGCTGAAGGCTCAGATAGAAGTAAAGAAAACACCTCTAAAAAGTAAAGCCAAAAACAAATCCTAGCTGCATGGCACCCTGAGTTTGATTCCTAGCCCCACAAACAAACAAATCTATAAAATAAACAAACCAAAGTGAAACTATAAGCATCAGAAAAATTTTGAAGGCAATTTCCCAGATTATCAAGTACTCACCATAAAGACAAAACAGACCCATCCTAAGGCACATTAATGAGCAACTCCAGAACATTCCGTGTTTCTGAGGAGAAAACAGCTCACTTTCAAAGGAGAAGGTGACCAGCATGGCTGTGGGCTGGCACGCGCACGCAGAGCTGGCCAGGAATGCCCGATGCCACCTAGAAATGCACCCCCAGCCCCACAGTCCACAAATGGGAAGGGACAACAAAATCACTCCCAACCCCTGCGACCCCTGCGTGTCTGCACGTCACCACCCACGCTCCTTCTCAGCACGTCCTTGCACCTGAGTGAAGATGGACAGACGGACACGGAACACCATCCAACCTCAGCACAGAGGCAAAGGGATTTCCACCCAACTCTGGAAATGGAGTTTCCTGCCAGTCTGACTCAGAGACAGCGGTGTCGGCAACACGCCTTCTGGCACCATCGTGACTGCCCCTAGCGAAACTACCAGAAGGACACAAGAAGATACAAAATTCAGGAAAAGGGGACTTTGGTGGAGAAAGCAAAGGAAGTCTTAAGATGACAGCTATGGGCAGCAGGTCCACAGACCAGACAGACGGACGCACCTCCAAAAGGAAGTCTCATGAAAACCCTGCAACAGAAAGCACAGAACCACTCTGTCCAGCACGGCAGCCGCTAGCCACACGGGCCAGTCTGCACAGAGAGGTTCTGCAAGTGCGAACTTCACTTCAACATCTGAAGACTTAAAAAAAGCACAAAAAAACTGGGCTGGGATTGTGGCTCGGCGGTAGAGCACTCCCCTAGCACGGGCGGGACCCAGGTTCGATTCTCAGCACCACATAAAAAAATAAAGGCATTGTGTTAAAAAAAAAAGCACAAAAAGCGAGTAAAAGCACCTCAGATATTTTAAATACTGATATTGATATTCGCAGAAATAATTTGGTAAAATTTGTTTAAGAAAAACATACCCTTAACTCCACCTAGAAAATTATTCTGAGATGCCATGAGAAGGTAGGGAACAATTAGTACAGGTACCAGGAAACCACGAAAAGAAAAGAGCAGCTATTAACAGAAAATCCCCAAACAGAAACAGCATGGTACAGCGCTATCTGAGCCTGCACGTGTCCCAAAACCAGGCATACAGCAAACATTGACTGAATCAAGAAGAGTCCTGGGAGGAGTGGGGGGGGGAGTGGGGGGGGGGAGAGCGTGGGGGTGATCTGGGGGAGGAGAGCAGGGGGGAGGAGGGCAGGGGGGGAGGAGAGCAGGGGGGAGGATGGCGGGGGGGGAGGAGTGGGGGGGGAGAGCGTGGGGGTGATCTGGGGGAGGAGAGCAGGGGGGAGGAGGGCAGGGGGGGAGGAGAGCAGGGGGGAGGAGGGCAGGGGGGGGGGAGAGCAGGGGGGAGGGGGGAGAGCAGGGGGGAGAAAGGGATAAACAAAAGGGAAGGCTGGTGAAGAAAATGAAATCCAGGACTTCACAGGCGTCTTAATTAAGGAATCAAAAGGTAGCAGTCCATCTAAAACTGGGACACAAACAAGCTGGAATCAGCACCTGCAGGAGTTGAAAGTTGCTCCCTGTGGGGAGAGACAGGGACTCGCCTGCGGAGGGGCACAGCAAACCCTGGGACCTCACTGCCAGCTCCTGGGACTGTTGCATGCTGGACCTTGGGCACATTCTACTTGGATTAAGGGAAGGAAAAAAAACTTGGGAGCACAGGCCGGTAACCCAGTTACTTGAGAGACTGAGGGAAGAGAATCACAAGTTCAAGGCCAGCCTGGGCAACTGAGTCCCCGTCAAAAAAGATAATAATAATGATAATTAATTGATTAATTTAAAGAGCTAGGGGTGTAACTCAGTGGCTAAGCACCCCTGCTCAAACTCCAATACCAGGAAAAAGAGTGCTCATGTTCTGCTTCTCTATTTATTTACAAAACTATGAAAAGGCAGGAGGAGACTCTGACTCAGGAGGGACAAGCTAATGACCTCAATGCCTGGTGACAGATGTGAGCCTACCTGAGAACAAAGAAACGGACCCAGTTCCAACACGTCCATCCCTGTCATTTGTGGAAGAAGCTAAGCTTGTGGGGAAATGCTATCTGCAGAGCCCCAAATAAACCAAAGGGATAAAAACCCAAGTCTTCAGTTTGTTTTCTACCTATAATTGTAAGTGGAAGCCTTCAGCAATGGGGAGGAATTCTTGCGGTGAAATGGCCACATGGAAATGGAAGAAGCACTCACTGCGAGAAAGCAAATGGATATTAGTAAGTACTTTTCGTGTGTGTGTGTGTGTGTGTGTGTGTGAGAGAGAGAGAGAGAGAGAGAGAGAAAGAGAGAGAGAGAGAGAGAGAGAGAGAGAGAGAGGGAGGGAGGGAGGGAGGGAGAGAGAGAGGGAGAGAGGGGGAAGGAGGGAGGAAGACAGGCAGGCAGAAACAGAAACTTGGAGACGTCATTTAACAGGATGCTGGGAAACTTAACAGGGATCCACAAGATACTTTTTTAAAAATAGATCTTAAAATTAAGGTATGCTCACAGAGCAAACTACACTGGTCTTAAGTTTTTCTAAGCATCTCTGAGGTAAAACTGACAAATAAAAAAATACCCATTTTATATGCTCAGTTCACTGAGTTTGAAGCAATGTCTTCAGCCGTGTAATTATCAATGTGACCTAGACAGAGGACATTTTCATCACTCCAGAAAGTTCATCTGTGCCCCCAGTCCCAGCCAGTGCAGACCTGCTTGGTAGCAACAAGTCTACTTTATTCCACAATTGACTGCTTCACCAGTTGCTAAGACAAGCGTGTTAAAATCCCAATTCTTTCTTTTCTCTCCTCCCTCCCTCCCTCTCCTCTTTTTGCAGCATGGGGAATTGGACCCAGGGTCTCAAACATGCTGGCCAATCATTGCACCACTGAGTTACATCTCCAGCCCTTCAAAAAAAAAAAAAAAAAAAGATAAGGTCTTATAAATTGCCCAGGCTGATCTTGAATTTGAGGTCTTCCTGCCTCAGCCTCCTGAGTACCTGGGATTACAGGAGTGACCCACCACACCCAGCTTTGAAATCCATTTAATTATGAATGTCTCCCTCTCCTTTCAGTTCTTGGTTTCTGCTTCATTTATTTGGAAGCTGTTTTGAAGTACACTTGCATTTAGGACCAAATGTCCCTGACAAAGTGATTCCCTCATCATGAAACATCTATTTATCTCCAGTAACATCCCTTATTCTAAATTCTGATAATACAGTCACTCAGCTTTCTTCTGATTAGTGTGTGCATGGTATATCTTCATCTACTCCTAGCTTATTTATGTCTTCATTTTTAAAATGAATTATTGTATATACTATAGAGTAATTCTTGCATTTAAAATCTAATGTGATAATCTTCATCCTTTAACTCAGGTATTTAGACCATTTATATTTAATATAATCATTGATGTGGTTGAT